TTGCCTGTTAAGAACCAAATGAAAAGCCAACTAGAAGCACACGAAAATCTCTATGTCACCAGCATCTCTATGAGGATCTTATGGGAGATGATGCTGAAAGTCCTATTAAAGTCCTTAAGTCCTATCTAACCCAACCTGCAGGCAGCTTTCTTAGTAAACATGGAAGAAAATGATACCACAAAGGTTCTATCCAAAGGATCAACCACTTACAAGAACCTAAGTCTGAACTTTCTCTGGCTGAGGTCCATCTGCCACGTTATGATTCTCTGATTTTAGGTTCTGATTAGGTTTTTGTGGATTCTGATTTATATTGTTTTTACATGTATTACATGAATTCAAAATGCAGTGATTTGAGTAAAGTGGGATTCCTTTCTGGACTTTTTCACAGGATCTTGTAATGTTACATGGAAGGGACCTTAAAGATCATCTCATTCCAAGCTCCCTGCCATGGGCATGGGCAGTAATACTTCACCAGCACTGGAAGAAGATTTCCTGTCTATAGAAAGACAGAATCAATGAGTTGTGAGGGGTCTCCAGAGGACATTTAGCCCAGCACAACAAGCCTCACCAACATCTGTGAAATTTAAACTGGGCTGTAAATCCTGAGCCTTGTGAATTTAAATAAAAATTGAATCACAGAATGGTTTGGGTTGGAAGGGACCTTAAAGACTAGCCCAGCCCCTACCATGGGCAGGGACACCTTCCACTATCCCAGGTTGCTCCAAGCCCCGTCCAGCCTGGCCTTGGACACTTCCAGGGATCCAGGGGCAGCCACAGCTTCTCTGGGCAACCTGGGCCAGGGCCTCCCCACCCTCACTGGGAAGGATTTCTTCCCAGTACCCCATCTAACCCTGCCCTCTGGCAGTGGGAAGCCATTCCCTTTTGTCCTGTCACTCCAAGCCCTGTAAATAGTCTCTCTCCCTGTTTCTTGTCATCCCCTTCAGGTCCTGGAAGGCCACAATTCACCCATCCCAAAGCTTCTCCTCTCCAGGCTGAACAATCCCAACTCTCCCAGCCTTTCCTCCCAGTAGAGCTGCTCCAGCCCTCTGTCAAAAAAGAACTTGTCACAACTCACTGATACCCACAGACAGCTCAGTTAGGAAATTGGTGACATAATTACCTTTCATCAGCATTCAAGAGTGAGTTTGCTTCTTTACCCAAGGCATTTAAAATACTTCTTTCCCATTAAAAAGCAATGTCTAGGATCAGTAGACTGGTGCCAGACAGGATATCTCTGTCTCACCCACTTAGTTTTGTCTTAGTTTTGCCTGACTTTGCTCTGCAGTGAACAAAGGCTATTGGATTTCTACCACAGGTATGATTTCACATTTATTATGTCAAAAGAAGAGCAAAATATTTCCATTGTGCAGTACAATCAAAGAATGGCCTCCAAAACCCTTTTCCAGGAGGTAGAATAGCTCTACTTCTAAAGAGCAACTTCCTTTAAGCACTTTTTTCATCCTTTAAAAAGAAGCAGGTGACAGAGGTATCACACACACTGCAAACTGCTCTCAGTACTGCAGTGTATTTATACAGTCTCCATCTCAGGGATGATCTAAGGTCAGTGATACTTGAGCATTTGATTAAGGAGTGGTTTCCCCACCACCACATAACTCTTTATCTCTATTTTCCTTCTCATTTCCTTCCCCAGCGCTGTCTCCCCTTGATACCAACACATTCAAGTTGGAGATTTCAAACAGTGCTGATCACAAAAATGCACCATCAACAAACAAATGACAGGGGGGAGTGAAGGGAGCTCGAGATATGTATTAAAAAAATAAATGAATAAAACCTTCAGTCCAGTGATGTCTTCCCTCTCCTGGGCCCCATGAGCTCAACAGCTTCCTCTTTAACCAGAGACTGCACTTTGAGTCTGCAACAAACTACTTGGGGCTCATTTTCCCTGAACAGGACTGTGAACCTGCCAGCAGATTTTGCAGTCAATACATTGATCCCTTCCTAAATGTCATTCCATGCTTTCCCTCCCATGCCCCTGGTATCGATAACAGAGCACTGTGCAAGGCAAATCATTCCAGTGCCCTGCCTTCAGCACGTTTTAGACCGCAATGAACTGCCTGAATTTCACTGTCAAGTTTCCCATTTGCAGCTTTTTGCTTCCCCTTGCTCCTTTGTAGAGACCTTTATGCAGCAATTCTCCCGCTGCCTTTCAGGGCATCCCCGGGATCAGACAGGAGGGAGCAGCAGGGAATCCAATACCCCCCCCCGACTGCCCCAATTTAGACAAGGCAGTGCAAAATAAAAGGGACTGGAAAGACATCTGCTCCACTGCCAGCCTGGTTTTTGTTCTTTTAATCCTCAGACTGCTCCACAATCCCCCCCCCAGGCAGAACTCCTGTGCCAGTGCCTTCAGGAACTGAACTCCACTGGCAGACAGAGCTGTTGGAGTGCTGGAGAGTGAGAGCACTCCGGAGTGTGGATCCTGCCTGACTGCAGGAACAAACCCTCCCCTCTCCCACAGGAAATCTTTCACTGCCCTTGTTCTACATCTCCTTGGGAAACAACCTCCCAGATGCCACCTAAGCCCTCATGGGAATCCCTTTTGAAGTCCAACTTTCCCACTCCAAACAAAGCAGGGCGCAGAAAACTCTTGTCTGTGGCAAATTATTAATGGGAGTGTCCAAACTAATTGTTTTATACCCCAAATTGTTTATAGCCCCATCCCTGGAAGTGTCCAAGGCCAGGTTGGACAGGGTTTGGAGCAACTTGGGCTAGTGGAAGGTGTCCCTGCCCATGGCAGGGGGTGGGATGAGCTTTGAGGTCCCTCCCAACCCAACCCCATCTGAGCTCAGGCAGGTGATGATCCTGACACCAAACCCCACCTGTAAAAGATCCTGAGGGACCAAAGTGGCTGAGCACCTTTTCCATATCCTTCACCATCAGGGCTCTGAAGGTAAAAATCTCTTGCTCTGTTTTTCCCTGTGCAAAATGGGACGATGACACTCCAAAGGGAAAGGGACACTCCAAAAACCTGTTGCTTTTTTTTTTTTTTTTAATCATCTATGTCACTCTTTGTTCTGGTGGATTTCAGGTTTCTGTTTGAAATAAATGTAGTAAAAGACATTCTGAAAAGTTTGGTAGTCAGAGGGTTAATTCTTGGGAAGGAAAACACACATCACAACAAGTTCATGTTCTTTTACCAGGCTATTCTCACCTCAGATAGGCCTTTATGTATATTTTAACCACATTAAAGCTTCTATACAAACTGTATTCCCACAGAAACCTCTCCCATACCTGCTGTGGTTCTATTGTACAGTGAAGCACAACACACCAAAAGCTATTTCAGTTTTTAAAGAGGAATATCCTCAAACAACACAGCTACACCAAAACGCTCACCAACATTATTTCAACAACCTCCCTGAAGCCAGAAAAGAAATTCCAAATGCCCAAATCTCTCTTTTCTGTACCATGGAATGGTTTTTCCAAAGGATACTTCTACACTGATTTGCATTTGTGAACATGAAACAACAGGAACTACATCCAATATTAGTGCTATAAAGAGAAAGCTTTCTCCACCAAGAGACTGGTGTTAACCATGACTGGAAATGGTAGAACCAGTTTTTGTCACACCACAACTGGGAACAAGAGATCCCAAGGCTTCAGGAAATATTTTCACTTCAACACAACTTAGAAATCCCACTAATTTAGAAGACAGAGAGGTTCTGTGCCGATAAGTTGTTATATTTTATAGTTCCATAGAAGCTAAATACACATCCACCCTCGTGTTTGAGAGGATGATTGAGCCTTGAGGGCCCCCAGCAAAACCCAAAATGGATTTTAAAGATATTTGGTACTGATTTGAACTGTTACACCCGTGCATTTTAGCAGGCAAAATGAAAAACCACCACACACGAAGGCAATGCCAAAAACCAAAGCAATAACTTAACAATTTGTGAAACCTGATTTAACTGCAGTGAGGGATCCTAAATTCCCCACGTCCCAGGCTTCAGACCAGTCTCTGATGTCTTATTAAATAATACAAATTGGGAAAAAACCTATGCTCATTATGGATATATTCTACCCAAGATGGTTCCCATGGTACTCAAAATGTCCTGTTCTTCCTGAAGGTACGAGTTAAGGAGCTCCCATTTTCTATTTATATGGTTGCTACTAGAGAAAAAGGAAAAAAAAAGGTAGATTTTTCACTTAAATTCCTAAAAAAACCTTGCTTTCAAATTCATCTTTTACCTACAGCTCATGCTGCATCCAACCTTAGTGTTAACTCACCCCTGCAGCAGACATAAAACATTACATTCAACTACTGGGCATCAAAACCCCACAGAAACAACTCCTTCACACTTTCTTCTTGCACCTGATGCTGGGAAAAAATGACTTTGCCCAAAAAAAAAAAAAAAAAAAAGCAATGTTTGCTTCAAGTGACTGAATCTGCAGCCAGGAGTTCACAAGACCCACAGGTGTTATAAAAATTTACACAGCTTCAAATCCCTCAAATTAGCAATACCCCCAAGCAACATCTATTTTTACAGCAGGTAATCAATTATTTCAGTCAAGGCTTTAACTGGTTTTCACCTTAATGGCCTTAAAATGTTCCATATGTGGGACAATTTCCTATAGCTGGGTGTCACTTGTTCTTTATGGTAGGAAGTGATTTAAAAAGAAACCAGTAAGAGTTTAAAAACGTGGCAACACTGTTTTAACACTGGAAATCTGTGACAAGCGAGTTTTTACAGTGGCATTTCTTAAAAAAAACCCAGGGTTTTAATGTGTTATTTTTACATGAAAAAGTGTTTTCAGCTATCAAACACAGCAAAGAAAACAATCAATTCCATATTTTAAAGCACAATTCTATATTTTAAAGCTCAAAACACGACTTTGTTACCACAAATTCATCTGACAATGGAGAGTTTGCATTTAAACTTCTGACATTTTGGCAGGATTTTGCCTAAGGCACAATTATTTCATGTTCTTTCCTAACTGTCTGGACAGTTTGGGTAATAAAATAAACGATTTAAATGACTTACCCTAACTTGACCAACAAAAGCATTGGCTTCCTCTTCCTGCACAGAGAGGTTTTTGGGTAGAAACATGTCAAAAACTGGTCCGTTGTCATTCACATCTGTCACCACTATATTGACAGTAGCAGTTGAGGTCTAAGGAGAAAAATAAAACACTATGAACAAATTATCTCTGTTTTACAGTTTCCCAGGTGAAAAACTTATTGTTATTTATTAGACCTGAGCAGTACAGAATCACAGGTAAACAGATGATCAATTTGTGACAGAGGAAGCAGCATTAATTTGAAGAGTTTCTTTTAATCTTTCCATTCTTATCAGACAAAAAAGGCTTGAGATTGAATAACATAAAAAGGGTTTGAGACTGAATAATATATTAAAGAAAGGACATCAGATACCTTTTTTCTTACACCTCATCTGAAGGACTGAAGGAGCTTCCACTCCCCCCAGAAATTCCAGAAAAATCAAAATTTGCCAGAACAACAAATTTGGAAAGAAATTAGTGACTTTATCAATCAAAATATGCTCCTGTGATGATGAGCTGAGCAGATCAGTCAGACCCTGAGGTGGCACAATCATCTTGTCTCATCCTCCTGTACCCTCCTTCCCCCACCCCACACTGATGTGCTTTATGCCCCACCACACCAATTTTAGCAGCCAGAGAGGTGCCTCGTGGGAACAGCCTAATTAACTGTCTTTTACACACATAAAATGTCCACAAAACGTGTCTGTGCTCCCTGTGGAAATTTTTCTATCCCAATCAAACACAGTTGGAGAGGGAAATACTTTGCTTGTGGGTCTTCACAGCTTGAGTCACATCCTTTTTCACTTCTCCTACACACTGAGAGTCCCAGACACAATCCCCCCCATTGCTGTATTTAATACATTATTGTCATTGATACATTATTGAATTTTAAATCCATTCACCCAACACAGTGTCTTAAATCAGTTTTCCTGGGTTTAAATGCCTTTGGATATGGATCTGCTTTGCATCAAGCTACACTGGGGGAAATTTGGGCCCCTCACGGCAGGAGAGACCCGGAGGGGCTGGAGCGTGTGCAGGGAAGGGAACGGAGCTGGGAAGGGGCTGGAGCAGCAGGAGGGGCTGAGGGAGCTGGGGGGGCTCAGCCTGGAGAAAAGGAGGCTCAGGGGGGACCTTCTGGCTCTGCAACCCCCTGACAGGAGGGGGGAGCCGGGGGGGGTCGGGCTCTGCTGCCAGGGAACAAGGGACAGGAGGAGAGGGAACGGCCTCCAGCTGTGCCAGGGGAGGCTCAGGTTGGCCAGGAGGAGGAATTTGTTGCTGGAAAGGGTGGTGAGGCCTTGGCAGGGGCTGCCCAGGGAGGTTTGGAGTGCCCATCCCTGGAGGTGTCCCAGGAAGGCCTGGCCGTGGCACTCAGTGCTCTGGGCTGGGGGACAAGGTGGGCATCGGGCACAGGGGGGACTCGGTGACCTTGGAGGGCTTTTCCAACCTCAGGGATTCTGGGATTCCATGAAATGTTCAGGACATTACAGTCACAGCAATTACACAGTGGAGGTGTAACCCCAGAAAAAGTCCCTTGCTTTAGGCACAAGACTGACCAACCTGGTTGAGAGTGACACCTCAGTGGTTTCACACAAAAAAAAAAAAAACCAAACCAAAACCTAAACAGAACCATAAAGCCCTCAACACATCTGAATGGAAAGCAGCATCTTCTGGTGCTGTACCTACCCCCCCAGAATGAACCCCAAGCAGTGTCACATACACCCCCACAGTAACTGCCTACAATTAATGCAGAATATAATCCAACTTTTATTAAGAGGAAATCTCCTTGTATCTGCCACGTGGGAAAAGCACCTGCAAAGGACAACTAATGCCCTCACTCTCTTCACAGAGAAGCACAGAAGGGTTTGGGTTGGAAGGGACCTTAAAATTCATCCAGTCCCACCCCCTGCCATGGGCAGGGACACCTCCCACTAGCCCAGGTTGCTCCAAGCCCCTTCCAACCTGGCCTTGGACACTTCCAGGGATCCAGGGGCAGCCACAGCTTCTCTGGGCAGCCTGTGCCAGGGCCTCCCCACCCTCCCAGGGAACAATTCCTTCCCAACATCCCAGCTTAGCAGCATTCACTCCTGCTTCCTTCCCAACATCCCAGCTTAGCAGCATTCACTCCTGCTTTCCTTGCTCCGCTGCCGGTTCAATCCAATAACTTTCTGCAGGAGGAATCCTGTAAAAGGCCAATCTCCTTCACCTCCCAGATCCTCAGCCCTGGAAAGCAGCCCAGCTGGAACGAGCTGCCTCTTTTCACAGCTCTAAATCCGGCTGCTGTGTTCGCCCCGTGTCCCACGAACTCACAGAAGCACCACACGACAACCCCTTACTGCTGCCAAAGTCATGAATCCAGAGGATTTGGAACTGAGCAAACACAAGGAGCCTTTCAGGCTGGCTGCTTCTATTTGCTCAGGCTCACTTATTTGCTAATTGTTTCGGAAAGTGCCATTCCCACGTTCAATTTCTATGAGGGAAATGCACTTTATGCATCACTGTCATCACAAAACACGCTCCAGAACGTTTGCTCTGATGTGCAATGCACGCTGAATGGAAATGGAATTTAGTCTCAGATTTAATAAGCTCAGACAAAGGTGGTGTTAAAAAACCAGGGCTTGAGACAGGAATTCCCATTTGGAAAACATTTCTTTTCATTCAAGGTAATTTAAAGGGGCTGTGGCTGAGCATTTGCAGCCTGTCTTCTCTTCTGTGAGGATTTCACAAGAAGAGACACAAGGAGGGAGGAGAAGAGATATTTGGAATTGTTTCCCAACTCTTAGATAAGAATTTTTAGTATTTTTCACATTGATGGCAATACTTTACTCGTCTTAAGCACTTCCTTTACCTGCCAGCCAACACAGCCAGGCCACTGCTCCTCTTGTCACTGAGTCTCAAGTCAAACTTCCACTGATGAATTTAAGGAGCAAGATTTTTGTAAAGACATAATATTTTGCAAGGGAAAAAAAAATAGTCCATTGAGATGCCAAAAAGGAAAATTAGTTCCCAAAATCTTACAAAATGTTCTTCTTCCTAAACTTGTAGGGGTACTAAAACAAGATCCTGTCATAAGACCAATGTTTCAAATAATCCCTTGTTTATAGTTTAGAAATTGATAGTTTAGAAAACTATCAGATGTGGATGAATTCAGTGAATTCAGAATTCACTGTAATCAGATGAACATTTCAAATAACCTTCCTTTTTTATTAGCCACAATTTAGCAAATGATCAAAAGTGGATGAAATCACGGGGAGCACTCAGAGCAAACTCTGGGAGAGCAGCAGTGCCCCTGGGTTCCCTTCTTTTAAATCAGCAACACCAGACTCTGAACTGAGAAAGACCATGGGAATACCCAAAAATCTTGCTTTTTCACCTGAATACAGGAAACATTTGTTGAAAGGTGGAAATGCCAACCTTTAACATGAAATGGGAGTCCCTTGGCTACCTGTGTGTCTCTGGGGTGCACAGAGTAGCAGTTCTGCCACTAACATCACAAACTGCTACAAGCCAAGGTTATTAACTGAATTCCACATTTTTATATCCCCATTAGATGGCTCCAAAGATTTGCCTGAGCTCTGTGCAAACCACAGCCTCAGCCCTGCTCTGAAATAGCCTTTATTAGACAACTGGAATTAATTACAGAGGCTTATTCAGAACCGCAGAACGGAGCAGTGTTGCTAACAACATGATCATCCATCCTGGGAATAATGGAGAAAGTCACCTTCTTACAGCAGCCAAGGAAATGTTTGGCACTAGGCAACAGGTGGGAAGGACCACAGGGAGTGAGGGAATGGGTCACTGGTTCTCATACTTCAAGTGTTGTGCCACACCTGGGACCTGCATCCCACACCCCTACAAGGTTACTGTCTGCTCTGGTTCTGGTCTTTGTACCCCTGCAAGGTCACCTGAACGTGGCAGAGGAAAATGAACTCAGTGCTTAGAATTCTCAGCAGCAGGAAGCAGATTTTGCCTCGCAAAGCTTGGGGGGAAATGAACAGAGAAAAAGATGGTGCTTCAAGAAAAGATGGTTGAAGCAAATCAGTCAGGGCTGGAATCTTTTATTCGTCCCCTTGATTGTGTAGATGCTGTTTTGGTTGTTCCACAGAATCACAGAATGGTTTGGGATAGAAGGGACCTTAAAGCTCATCCCAGTCCCACCCCCTGCCATGGGCAGGGACACCTTCCACCAACCTGACCTTGGACACTTCCAGGGATCCAGGGGCAGCCACAGCTTCTCTGGGTAACCTGTGCCAGGGCCTCCCCACCCTCACAGGGAAGGATTCCTTCCCAATATCCCATCCATCCCTGCCCTCTGGCAGTGGGAAGCCATTCCCTCTCATCCCTTCACTCCAGGCCCTTATAAACAGTCTTTCTCCATCTTTCCTGTAGGCTCAGAAAGTGAAGAGTTTCACAAATATCTTAAAGAATCATGAAAAGCTGCAGAGTTTCATAGAGGATGCTCGAAGACAGTGAAACAGCAAAAAACAAAAGCTCTTCACATATGTTTGAACACCACTAAAAGTCTTTAAAGAAACTTGAGTGGTTCCCCAAGGCAATGACAGACACGTAATTCACAACTTGGTTTTGTGCATCCATCGAATGGATGCTCCCCATGGAAACACAGCAAGGCTAAAAAACTGCTTTTGCTGGTTTAAAATGAGGCATTTCTTCAGCAGATTTGTCAAGCAGGGTTTGGAAAGGAGTCCTGAAGCTACTACTGGAAATTCACCCAGGGAAAAAACCAGCCCAGCCTCATATCGGGTACTTCCCATTCATTACTGAAGCAAACTCCGTTTAATTCTCTTTTAGAATAAGCATAACTCAAATAAAAGATCAACAGCAGCAATTTATAGCTTTCTTAGGGCCCCTGAAATAGTTCTTACATATATAATTCTTCCCTAAGCAATAATTGTAACATTTACATTGCTTGCACAAATACATTTGTGTCCTGAGCACGCCAGGCCCTGACAAATGTTATGGATGGGAAATATGAAGGAAATTCCACTTTATTCTTTATTTGTACCCTGTCATTTAAATTGAAGCTGGGAATTGATGAGAGCATTCTATGCCTTGGGAGAGGAAACATTCTCAGCTCTGATGTTGAGCAAGTTTATTA